TGGGTTTATCAGATAGTACTTGAGCTTTCAGATTCTGTCCCAAAAGTTTGTCTTAAAGCAAAACATGTAGAAAAATGAAAACTGAGGTCTGTGGATTTGTTTGTCAGTCCTTTGTGTGATATCCACATAGAGAATATAAATGCTTGGTCCTTGGTTTGTTTTTGTAAGTGGGGTAGAACTGTGTATGTGTGTTTAGTCAGACTCTTCCTCTGAACTGGCTGGTGTGGACACAACCTCTTCCTCCTCTTCATTTGACTGCTGGTTACAAGAACAAAAAAGGGGGTGAGTATCTGTGGGTAATTTGTGATAAAGATAAATGAACCAACTACATTAATTTCATTTCCATTTAGTCTCTCACTCTTACCTGCAACTTCTCCACAACTCTGTTTCCTGTGGTTTTGGTCACATTTGAACTTTTTTCCCTGTCTGTCTCTCAAACTTAACACAGCAACTGTAATTCACGCACATATTAAAAATTCTTGAAATTAAATGCGTTTCTCTTTTTTAATTTATTAACAATTGAAGCTCTCAACTTTTGAGCAAAGTTGCAATGCTGATGTCATCATCTGGGTTTATGGTCCAGTTACATTACTGGACACCTGCTAGCCAAATGAAACGAAGAATTTTAACAGCAATCTGTGTCCCGCCCCCGCATCATTCAAAGCAATCTCTATACTAGCGTGGTAAAACTAGAAACAAAAAAAATCTAACAAACATCCAGGAAACTAACTACCTACACTGGTCAAACGCTGTGGTAAACAGAGAGAAACACATGAGGAATTAGCTGCTAATGCATCCTGCTACAGCCTGTCTGAAAATGACATCTACCATTTCTGGCTTTACCTTCTTCCTCTTGGACTTGCTCTTGTGGTCAGAGTCTGAGGAACTGTCCTCACTGGTTTCGATGAACTCTCGGCTCTTGAAACTGTCATTGCCTCCTCCCCGCTCTCTGTCCTTATCTCCTCCGACAGACTTCCTCTTCTTCTCCTCCTTTTTACCACCAGATTTTTTACTCTCTCTAAACGAAAGTCGACATATATTTAAGATTTTTTTTTTTTGGGTTCAAAACAAAAAGGCAAAGAAAACCTTGTGTTATGACCCTTACTTCCTGGAACTAGAAGCTGATCCTCCGCCACTCTCTGCATACTCCTTCTTTGCTTTGTCGTACTGCCTCTTGGCCTCTCCTGCCTTTGCTTCCCACTCCTGGAAAAAAAAAACAGGGTAGCAGAAAAGTGTATGAGAGGAATGAATAAAACATCAAAAAACAAATGGAAAAGACTGAAACTGCTAGATATGGGACAGATGTTAAGAAATCAAATCTGGCATTTTCAAGCTCCACTTTATTAAACTGTTTGATAACATCATTCTTTCTTCAACATTCATTCTTTCATAATGTTTCTAAAGCTGAATGTTACCTTTCAGATGATTTCAGCTAGTTCCAAGTATAACCAGGGGTGGTGGAAGGAAGTTACCTTCGCCAGGCACCCTTTGCACTGTACAATAACCTACTATGTTACTCAGAGCTTCCAGCAGTGTCCAACCTACAGGGGTAATTGTCTTTAAAAGTAAACTGTTAAGGTCAATCTGGTCCCATCATACAAAACTTAGGGGCTGAAGTTACACAGTGCAAAGTTCAGTAACAACACTGCCGTTAATGTAAACCAAGAAAGCCAGTAAACTGCCGTCTGTTTTCATTTTACATAGCTGGCAGAATCCCGGTACTAAAGGCGTGATGCTTATCATGACATCCAACTGCTTTGTTCTCACCGACTCCTTCACCACATTCACTCTCTAGCTCTCTCGACCACCACTGCTCTCCCTCTCTCACATGGACCCCCAACTCCCAGTTCCACATCATTCCATTTATACAGGAGGTGGGTGACCTCATCTGGGCAAAAATACTACCTATTGTGGCAGCCTTTTGGAGCGTGGGTCAACACTGGCCCACCATACGAGTAATGTACCTTTCATATAGAACAGCAAGGCAGATAACCCCACACTCTGAATGTAAAAGAGGCTACTGTATATTACACTGAATGGAGGAAATAAAAAAAAAGTTGTAAAGACCACCAAAGTAGCATATTTAAAACATTTCCTAGTACATTTACAACTATTCTAATTAATTATTACTTTGCTTTTATATCAATCTATTGTCACAGCCCTACTGTCCTGGACTGTGGCACAATCTGAGAGTCACTCTGAATAAAGCCATCAGCTTGAAGTCTAAAAGGCAAAGGTAAAATTAAAACTAATTCTCTAAACACTTTTACCCTTACATGTTCTCCTGCCTCACCTCCTTCTCATCTTTGTTCAGTTGTTTCCACATCTCTCCGGCCTTCTTGGAGATCTCTGTGATGGAGATGCCCGGGTTCTCCGACTTGATTCGCTCACGACTGGAGTTCAGCCACAGCATGTAGGCACTCATCGGCCTTTTGGGGCCGCCGCTATCTTTCTGCTTCTTCTACTCCAATTGAAAATAGGATGGAAATGTGGGCCATTATACAGGTTTACATATACTGAATGTGTGTTTACAATCCTACGAAAAACAAAAAAGGTACCAGCATCTTCTTTCAACCTTTACGTTCTAATATTTCTCTCATGCTTTCTGCCTGCTCCAACTGCTGTCTCACCTCTTTGCGCGGTTTCCTTTCTTTTTTCTCCTTCACCACTTTGACTTTCTTGGCTTTCTTCTTCTTCGCACTCTCATCTTCACTTTCGTCTTCTTCTTCACTGCTGTCACTTGCCGAGGCTTTGCTGTCGTACCTGAGTGAAGGTGGTGGAGGAACAGAACAGGAAACAGGGAGAGTTTTGTTAAATGGGTGCAACGAGTCAGGGATGACGGAAAAACATGGGTGAAAATACGCAGACAAAATAGATTGGCTGGGCGATATGGTCAAAATATGGTCAAAACTAGGGCCGTCCCGAATGGCAATTTTTGGGCTCCGGATATTTGGTGGCAATATTCAGCGAATATTTGAATATATTTGATAAGCTGTGATCGTGCTGCAGCTAAAAGTACCTCTTTGCCAAAGTGGCAGTATTTTGGGTAAAACAAAAACAAACCGCTAATGAAAGCCATTATTTAATATTTAATGTAACAGATGAACAGATGACGGATCTTCATAATCATTTGAGTGCACACAGGATGTGCTACAATTCCATCATTGATGTGAGACTGATAGTTTTACCTGTGAAGACGTCTCACTCTGTTGGAGTTGTTGGTCTTGAATATTCGCATACCAAAACTGATTACCCACCCAACAAACAAATATCCGAACAGTAAGATACTGGGGTCCAGCACTAGTCAAAACATACACACACATTGTTTTATAAATATTTATTACCATCACTGAGGAAGGAAACACATTCTAGATATTTATTAGACCTCTAGAGGGATATTACTGTTAGGATTAAAGCCTAAACTAAGAAAAAAAACAAACAGACTTCCTATCAAAGACTCAGTAATTTGCCATGATTTCCTCATCTTGTGTGGTCATCTGACTCTCCTCACAAACACATTTTGTATGTTTGCAGCAATGTGTGTGGTTTTTTCCTTTGTTTTGGCCCTACATTCATCAGTCACACACAAAACTCAAGCTACCCTATTTCTGTAGCCTAATGACACAATTGTGTATTGACCCAAACCCACAGATACATTTATTCTAAATTACTTTTGGTAAATTATCAACTTCTTGGATTTTTTTTTTTTTTATGATAAATATCACAATTACTCTGTTGCTCAGCCTGACTCAATACAAAGCAATTTATGGTAAAGTCACTTACTCTTCAGCAATGTCATCATCTTCCTCTCCGGGGTTAAATGACTCATCTAAAGAGTGAAAAAAAGACAAAAAAAGATCCCAGTCAAACATAATGATCTCCTCATGTATTCCCCATCTCTGGCACACTAAGACTGTTACTCACCGCTTCCGCCGTCTGATTCGTCGCTGTCGTTGCCTTCCTCTCTGATCTTTCCCTCTGCCTTCATCCTCTCCAGGTATGCATCGTGCTGGTCATCATCTGAGTCGCTGTACTCGTCAATCTTTCCCTTCATGCCCTGAAAGTAAACTGTACGGTCAACAAAACTAACCAACACTGCCCACATTTCCTTGGGCTACAACCACATAGGGCAAAGCTCATCTGAAAAAATAAAAATAATCTCAGGACTGAAATTAATCGTTACTTTTACTTAATCAACTGACAGTATAAAAATTGGACAAAAACTTCCAATCATGCTTTCGTACAGCCCAAGGTACATTTTCAGTTTGCATATTTTGTCCAAACAAATTAAAAAACAAAATTCACTTTACCACCATTAAAAATTGGAAATTTGAGAAGCTGGACATGATCAATTTGTCATTTTTGCTTAACAAATAAATGAATTAAATGCTTAGAAAAAGTGCAGTTGATAAATCTTCTGCTCCAACCTTGGGTCAAGAACCCCACTCAACACTGCAGGATAAAACTCAGGGGTTTGCCAACGTATTGAGGAAAGCAGAAAAAAAAATTCTGCTTCACCAAACAAGTTTTTTATGATTATCATTTTGTCAGACTATCCTCTAAATTCCAAGCTTTTAGTCATTTGTTTGTAGCTTTATGTGAGGGGTCATAAACTAAAAAGGTTCAGAACCTTCACTATGCAATCGTGCAAACACTATGCTGTCATTTTTACCATTGTGCCCTTTAACAAATTACCAGTAGTATCATCCTATAGGATTTGGCTGTGTGCACTGTAATGCCATTTAGGAGACTCAAACTAAACATTTTTTTCTCCTCCACCATGACCATTCTCATTTCCATTTATCAATACTTGAACCTGCCCCAAGGGATAAAAAGATGACCAACCAGAGAAGCTCTCATTAACACACCAACAGGAAATGGAGAGCAGGCTCATTCATTTTCATTGACCTGCTCTGCTGACCCTGCTGCCATGGTCACAGAGGAGTGAAAGGAGTTGGTGCCTCAGCTATGTTGTAAGATAGATAATGTAACAGACAGCATTTAAGGCAACGCAATCAGCTCTGCCTGTGTTAGGCAGTAATCATGGTGACAGCTGTGCCGAGTGTTAAACTGCACCAAAAGCCCCCAGGCCACACATTAGTCAGCATGACGCTAACAAACACACATAGGCGCACTGATGTTATCAGAGTCACACACACCTTCACCGCCATGTCCCATGATTAGTCATGAATCACTCTAGATTTATTAGGTACAATCATATCATCATATTAACGTCAAACCCAATCAGGATCATTGGCCATAATCTTCAGTAACTTATATACACACACACACGCACGCACGCACGCACGCACACACACGCAGACGCCATGCAAACACAAATCACTCCACACCAATAAAATTGTGTGCCTAATGTACATGTGACGCCCGTGACCATACCCACCTTCTTCTACAGGGGTACAAGGACAAACACACAGGAGAAGGGCAAAAAGTATCAATATCTGTGATGGAACAAGTCTTTGTTTTATCAACTGGGAGATATTTAAATGAAAGAAGTGTTACCTCCTTGAAACCTCTGTTCTTGATGTTGAGCTTCTTGGCGTTAACAAAGTCAAACAGTTTGCCATACTCTTCTCTAAAAGAAAAGAAAAGACAGGGTTATGTTTTGCTGAAACCCACTAGATATGTTCAGGGTTGGATGTTATTATCTACTGTTCTCTGTTGCATTTGTCTCAATAGCAATGAATGCAACTTTTTAAATAGACCAGCACACGACATTTCTGTTCTCACACTTGCTTTCACTTTATATGTTTGTATAGGTTGTTTACAGTATGTAGACCAGACTTTGACCTACTTTTGTTAAGGTGTAAGCAGGTAATCAGTCCTAGTCTGGTGCAACTAACACAGAGAATGACTTATTGCCTGTTGGTTTTGTTCCATCACTAACAATAACACTGAGAAGCCAGATCAGCAAAATATGATGTAGCAGAGTCCAGGCAGCCAGAAACCGAAGCAGATTCATCAACACCTGATCAAGTAACTGAGACAATACAAAATACAAAGTAGCTGGGATGCAAAGGAGCAGAAGACATGCTGAAAAACATGGCTCTTGTCAAAATAATCTATATAGGAATATTAATAACCAGGTTCATCTATGATCCATGTAAAGATCATATCCCAAATGTGACTGAAACCATAATAACCAACCAGTAACCATATAACTGGGATCCTCGTGTTCATGAACTAGTTCTGTGTTTCCTGATAGTCTGTTCATGCTATACAAAAAAGAAATGACACATATTACACAGTTACTGTCTTTGTCCTCACCTCTCAATGCTGCTGAAGGTGTACTGATTCCCCTGCTTGGTCTCAATCTCAAAGTCAAAAGAACGTGTTGTGGTGGTGCCTCGGGCAAAATTGACGCATGAGATCTCCTCAAACCGCAGGTGCACAGGCGGTTTGTGGACGTAGATGAAGCCTCGCTCTAGCGGGTAGAGGAGGCCTGAGGACGCCTTGAAGGAGCAGGTGATGCACTGAGCCCCAGAATGACTGTGGAAAAATTCAGTATTTTTAACTCTATTCACTTGCATATGTGAAAAAACATGTCTGCACTTGTTGAGGTGCATACCCCTGGAAGTTTCCAGGCACAGTGATCTTGCGGTTGACCAGGGCCTTCATCACCCTGCTGACCATCTCATAGAGAGACCCCGACATGTTCTTACTGAGTTTACCCTCAAAACGACGCTCAACATCCTCCCTGTTAGACACACAGAAGAAAGGTCAGGGTTACCAAGTAAAAATTACAAGCTTTCTGGTATCACTACATGACAGGAAAATGACTCCTCCAGAATTTTGCTTCCCTCTGGTGGATACAAGCTTTACAACACCAAAAGGTGTGTAGTGATAGAGACAGCTGTGTTTATCAACTCCTTTATAACTCATACTATAATTAATTACACGGAGCCCATAACGTCATGGTGTCACATACTCGCTCATGTTAAGTGTGAGGTTGATGTCCTCTTCTTTGGAGAACAGCAGAATAAGGAAGTGATAACGTGTCTGACCCTGCTTAATAGGAGGATCCAGACTGATCTACAAGGAATACACAAAACAAGAGAGAAAAGGTTGAGAAAATATTTTAAAAAATGGGGAAAAAAGGAAAAGAGGGGAAGAATGAGAACAGGAAGTAAAAAGAAAAAAATTCAAGCTAATTTGGGCTATGGACAGGGGATGAAACGCAGACAGCAAAGTCCACCTACCACAAAGAACATCTGCCTTTGGTCCTTGTGTGGCAGC